TTTCGACCCCTCCATACTGCCTTTTCTCCTGTCGTACCACCTCATTTTCTCTTCATGTGAAAAGTGATTTGACCAGCCACGTGGTGACTCTGCTCCACCGAAATTTTTCTCGTAAAATTAAGATGGGCTGGACCCATCTGAACGGGATATTGGGCTTCCATAATGCGAAATTCAAAAGATTTCATTTATCCATTTCAGTAGCCAAGGAAGGGAGCCACGTAGGAGGGCGGAACGTTGAGTTCAGTTTGTGATGGCAAAAGCTCTTGAGAGTCTGGTGGCTGAAATTAGAGGAACTGCCAACCCCACATATCCAAACTCCACCATCGCTTTGTAATTTCTTCTTCTCTTCCCGTCTTCTTCAAACTTCTGTTTCAGTAAATAGACGTGGAAATGTCACAAGCACCCTCACTCCCCCGTCTTCGCTCTCCCTTCCTCTCCTGCCCCCTCAAGCTTTCCACCTCCCCTTCTTCCTTCTGCGCGTCCCACAAGTTTTCAGGAAATCAACGGTCACCGAAGTCGTATCCATGCATCAGAGCCATTGATCTCGATCAAAACACGGTTCTCTTTTCTCTAATTGTTAACTTTTCTGTTAATTTTGAACTTTTTTTTTTCAATAATTTTGTGCAGAATCTGAAATAGGCATGAGTTTTCAGGTAGTTGCAATCTCAGTTGGGCTTGTGAGTGTTGCCGTCGGGATTGGCATTCCGGTTTTCTACGAATCACAAATCGACAGTGCTGTGAGTTCTTTCAACTTCCTGTAATCTAATCTTGATTAAATAAGTTGTATTAACTAAAGGAGGAAATCTCTATTAATTAATAAAAAAAATTTTGTCAACCAAAATACGAAGAAAAAACTACGTAATCTTTTATCACAAAAAGGGTAATAATGTAATTTTATAAATCTGAATTTTACGTTTTTTTATTGAAACCTCACTTCGTGTTAAAATACTTCTAATATTAAAAATATAATCCAAAAACAAAAACCTCCCACTCCCCTGTCTCTCCTTTTCATTTTCTAAAAAAAAAATGTTCATAGGCAAATGCTAGTATTAATAATGCTAATTGCAGGCAAAGCGAGACAACACTCAGCCATGCTTCCCTTGCAATGGAACCGGCGCACGTAAGTACAGTATTTTTCGTCAAACGATACAATATATACAAAAATACTTGTACAACTTGGTAGCGAACTCACTCACAAATGTATATCGTTCTTGCATCAGTGTGAGCGCCGGCAGTAATTAACATTAACAACTTGGTAGCTGTGTTTTTATCAAATATTAAACATCTTGTAAATTTGTGGTTTCGAATTTATTACATTGTTCTTGTTGTGGCATGCCGTTTACGTTTTGATGTCCTGATGAAAATTGTGTGTCGCAGAAAAATGCAGATTTTGCACGGGAAGTGGGACGGTGACAGTAGAGCTTGGCGGGGGTGAGAAAGAGGTGTCCAACTGCATCAACTGCGAAGGGGTCGGTTCGTTTACGTGCACAACATGTCAGGGGTCTGGGATTCAACCTCGGTACCTTGATCGCAGGTGCGATGATTCATGCATTTGGATCATATTCGGTCTATCAGTATGCATGAAACTAACTCATTTGTGTATATTTTGTTGTCCTACAGAGAATTCAAAGACGATGACTGATCGAGGTCTGCTATATATTGCTAAGAAGAGTAAATGATTGTCGAGAAGAAATCTTCACTTTTTTTGTTCTTGTTTTTTACACTTAATCAGTCCAAATTGCTTTCATGTGATCCTTCAGATATGAATTAGCAGTTTTCTAACCTGCCTTCCTCTTCTTCTCTTGTGCTTCTTGTGTTTCATCTTTTATTTTTCTCTTGAATCAATGTACTGAATGGGAAATATTGGCTTAAGGGTTTAAATCTTCTACCACAAATAATATAAATGTCTTTGTGCAAAACTCATCGATCCACTATTACTCAGCACCGATATTATCATCAGTTTATATTTAAACACTTGCTAGGAGCACACTAACACAACGAGTGTGGAGTTTAATTGCAAAAGACATCGATGTTATTAGTAGCAAAACCGTTCATGTATTGTAATTTGTTACACTTCTACATAATGTATTACACTACATGATTTCGGGAGAAAGATATTTGCATAAGTTGCATGACTAGAGTAGCTCTCACACATAGTTAAAAATTAAAATCACATGAGATCTAGTGAGAAGTCTTTGAAAAAAAAAAATACAGTAAAGTCATGGTTTTAGAAGAGATGCCCCCACATAAGTGACATGGTCCTAGCGCTACCACACAAAGTGTTTCTCCGAGTTAGTAAAAATAAAAAGGAAAACTAACGAAAATTTCAAAAAAACTTTAGTTTTAATGAAAAATGACAAATAAATAGTACCAGAAAAAGTTAAAAATATGATTTTTTGTTAAAAATGAATAGTACCGAGAATGTTTCGTTAAAACTCTCAAAATAAAAAACAAGGACCAATTTTAACATTGTTGGGCTTTTGTCAAAATCTTGTCGGTGAGGCCCGAACTTGAATAGAGCCCGGCCCGCGTGTATTGTTGAACCCCGTCCTCCTCTTAGGCTTAACTCTGGCCGCCACTGGGTTGGGAGAGGGAGTTTGGAACGACGTCGGATTGAGTTGGCGGCACCTGGATTCCAACTAGGGTTTTGCAGAGTTCCTAACTTTCAAACCAGAGGGAGAGAGATGCTGTACATAGTAGGACTGGGGTTGGGCGACGAGAAAGACATAACTCTGAGAGGATTAGAGGCTGTGAAGAAATGCGACAAAATTTTCATCGAAGCCTACACTTCCCTCCTCTCGTTTGGCATCTCCTCCGACGGCCTCTCCACCCTCGTACTCTCTCTCTCTCTACATCTCTATTTGTTTACAGAACTTGTTCAACTTTTTCAAAAAAAATTGAAATGGAAGTTTGGTTGCAGGAAAAGTTGTACGGAAAACCAGTGACACTTGCGGATAGAGAAACGGTGGAGGAGAGGGCCGATCAGATTCTAACTGCAGCTGCTGCTTCCGACGTCGCCTTCCTTGTCGTTGGCGATCCTTTTGGGTATGACCAATCTCTCTGCAGAACTAGAAAAATCTTGTTTGTGTGGAATTTATTTATTTTACTAGGAATTGGGGAAGTAATTAAAATTTAGTTTCCAAGAATGTTGGAATTATGATCGAAATAATGCTGGCTTATGATGATCAATTGAGCATTTTGGAATTATATAATTGTGTGTAATGGATCCAAAAGCTATGAGGAATGTCTAATTACTGCATTCTTTCTTGCGTAATTTGATCTAAAACGCAGAGCTACGACACACACTGATCTTGTCGTTCGAGCCAAGAAGTTGGGGATCGATGTCAAGGTGGTGCACAATGCGTCGGTGATGAATGCAGTTGGAGCCTGTGGATTACAACTCTACCACTACGGAGAGACAGTTTCAATACCATTCTTCACCGAGACATGGAGGCCTGATAGCTTTTATGAGAAGATTCAGAAAAATCGTGCGCTTGGACTGCATACGCTATGCTTGTTAGGTTGGGTTCTAGATGCTTAAAAAACTGACACCAGTTGATGCTTATCTTACTATACACTCATCACAAATTATTTTCGCTGTAGATATACGCGTGAAGGAACCGACTCTGGAATCGTTGTGCAGGTCTCTAGTCAAATAATCGACTGCCTTTTCTTTAGTTTCAGCTTCGAAATATTTACTGTGTGATTTAGGTTTTGTGTGTTTTTGTGCTTCCGCAATTGCATAGGCTTATTTTTGTTACTTGCCTCCCTTTCAGAGGAAAGAAGCAGTATGAACCGCCTAGATATATGTCGATAAACACTGCAATTGAGCAGCTTCTGGAGGTTGAACACAATCGAGGAGAATCTGGTAACCATGTCATTTTTTTCAGACCTTTACTTCAAACGTGATTGTTAACTATTGTCTGGCATCTGCACAATATAACCGTTGCTACATTTTTTATTCTTGCATTACCTCGCAGCATATAATGAAGACACGATGTGTGTTGGGCTTGCTCGGCTGGGAAGTGAGGATCAGAAGATCGTTTCTGGTACGATGAGGCAACTGCAGTCGGTTGATTTTGGAGCACCTCTCCATTGCCTTGTTATAGTAGGCAAAACTCATCCAGTGGAAGAAGAAATGCTGGATTTTTACAGACATTCGGAAGAGAATAATCATGGCACTGTATGATTATAACGCTGATAGGACGGCATTTGCCTGATCTACTTTTCTATGGTGAACTGTTGTACTATATGCAGCAGAGACAGAATAGGAGGCTACGGTTACTTGGCTTTCAAGAGAGATCGGAAGATAGGTTGTTGTATGACTCCAAACTGCTGTCATGCTGCGCAATCCGATTTTGTGAATCGAGTTTAGTCGAGTTGCTGTAATACATTATGTGCCGTATTAATTTCACCTGTCTTCAATTTTGAGCGAAATATATATGTCGTGATTATTCCACATTGTGTATGCTTATTCAGAGATGAATAAGATTGAGACTGCGCTAAAAGAAAAGCCATATTATGAACATGTGCCATGAGTTCATCCTAATCTCTAACCAGATATTAGAAGTGGTGCCTTTGGTGAAACGACATCTCTTCAAAACATGATTTTGGTGCCTTCAATTCTCCTCCCAGTTTGACGGAATACGATCAAAGTTTTACGAAGCCGCGTGATCGTATTCTGTCAAACATGGAGGAGAATCGAAGTCGCGTTCAGAATTTCTGAATTTCCTTTTAACCAAAGCTGAATCGTCGACTGCACATTCGTACCAGAAATCGGTTTACCCTCCTGTCTGTGGCCAGTTGGACGGTTAAAATCATCTGTTCCTCTCAAATATCCAACGGCAAACACAGGTCTTCGTCATCTCTGACTTAGTCTTACCGCAGATCCGTCCGTTCGTTTTCCCCGCCCGCACGAGGGCTATTTCGGTCATTTGACAACGATCATCCCGCCAAACCATCCAAACAAAGCACCAAACTGCAAAAATAAAAAAAAAATTAAAAAAAAAAACGGAAAAAGACCGCGAAATTAACCTCGTCTCGGTTGTCAACCGTGTCCAACAACAAACAAAATCTGAAGTCCGATCCGAGAGGGAACGCGAATCATCGCTTAATGAGACGTTAATCTCCTCCGAAACCTCGATTAATGTCTGTTTGTCTTGTCACAATGTGTTAAGACAGATCTCTTAATATTTGCCTACCTCTTGTGGTTTTAGTTGGTCCTGAAAAATGGGAGCTAAACCGAGGTGCAAGGGGTGGTGGGTGTGGGTGCTGGTGCTCGTGATTCTCGCTCTCGTCGCCGGCGGCGTCATTTTCGCGGTCGTCAAGAAAATAAAGAAAAACTCCGGCGATGACGACGGTGCGGTTCCTGGTCCTCCCGGCGCCATTACCCAGAAATACTCCGCCGCTCTCAAAGTCGCCGTCCAATTCTTCGACGTCCAGAAATGTACCTTTCTCTCTCTACATTTGCAACGTGTTCATTTTTTTACTAAATATTCAGTTAATTCACATTATTCGCATCACCCAATGCCTCAATTGGTATAAATGTTTGATCTTTGTTTTGTCCTTTGTCTTTTGTATTGCGAGTTTTCGATGTATATTAGTATTTCGATGTATTAATTTCCAGTTTACTAAATGTTGGTAGGTATAGTGCCTGACCTGTAATTTGTTTTTGATTTTGTGGGTGGTTGTCATATGTAGCTGGTAAGCTGGTGGATAACAAGATATCGTGGAGAGGGGATTCGGGTCTGAAAGATGGAAGCGATGCGAAGTTGGATTTGTCCAAGGGAATGTATGACGCTGGGGATCACATGAAGTTCGGATTTCCAATGGCGTATACCGCCACGGTCTTGTCGTGGGCGATTCTTGAGTATGGTGATCACATGGATGCGGTGAATCAGTTAAAAACTTCTCAAGCCTCTCTTAAGTGGATCACTGACTTCCTTGTCAATGCTCATCCCAAGGACAATGTGCTCTACATTCAGGTTCGTATAACGTTGAACCATTTTCATTACATGCAAATCGCAATGCTTATGAAGCGTTTCTTACTTGCCAAGTTGCCAATTCATATTCTGGGGCAGGTGGGTGACCCTAAAAAGGACCATGAATGTTGGTATAGGCCGGAAGATGTGACTGAGAAGAGGCCGGCAACACAGGTCAACACATCCGCTCCAGGAACGGAGGTTGCGGCTGAAACTGCAGCAGCTATGGCTTCAGCATCTCTGGTCTTTAAGAAAAGTGATGCCAAATATTCAGATACGCTTCTTTCGCATGCCAAAAAGTTGTTTACTTTTGCTGACAAAAACAGAGGCTCTTACAGTGAAAGCATCCCCGAGGTCCAGAAATTTTACAATTCAACGGGATATGGAGATGAGCTTTTGTGGGCAGCAGCCTGGCTTTACCATGCGACTGGGGATAAGGAATACCTTGATTACGTCACAGGGGAGAATGGAGAGGAATTTGCTCAATTTGGTAAACCGACGTGGTTCAGTTGGGATAACAAGCTTGCAGGAACCCAGGTATGTTGAGAACCATCCTTTCTTTGTTTTTCTGCTGTGTTTTAATCTGTCAAATGCCACAGTAAAATGCAACTCGCCCGAGAAACGAATTATTTGACAATGTCTTGCTCTTCCTGGATTACTATAGTAGCTATATTTGAAGGACTTTCATTTGCAAGATAAGTTACCATTATACTCGAGTAAAATTCGTCCTTCAGTCTTGTGAACAACTCTGCATTTTTACTGCAGGTTTTGCTCTCCAGGTTGACCTTCTTTGGTGGGAAGGACACCTCAGACAATTCTGGCCTTCAAAAGTACAGGAAGACAGCTGAAGCTGTTATATGTGGCTTCCTGCCAAACTCGCCAACGGCCACGAGCAGCAGAACAGAGAGTAATCTTCTTCGCTATTGTCATATTACATGGATTATCATGCATATCTTTTCTTCTTCTTGTTAAAGCAAAAGCATTGCTCTTGCTAGCCTGCCTCGAGATTAGTTCTCCAGAACTATATCACCGCCTCTTCTACATTGTAATGCACCAACTAATCTAAGATGTTACTGATAACTTTATAAACACTCACCAATCTAACAGCCTCCGTTGTAGATAAAATCCTCTACCGTTCATAATAACTGGTTTGCACTTCAAAACAATTAGGGAGGATAAACACAATTGCTTCCTATTATGTAGAAGAAAGTGATACTTATACTAGGCAAACATGAAGCTCTAAACAACAACAATGCACACGGTTTCCGATATTTCCAAGCAATCAAGTACGTGTCCACAGTTGGGAATGTTATTCTCTTTTGCATCCTTTTAGCTTTATGCACCACACTCAAATCTTCGAAGCTGGTTTGCATATGCTCGTAATTCAGTTCTTTTTTGCAGTATCTCTCATTCTCCTTGGCTTACCATCATGGTGTCCACATTGCAGATGGTCTGATCTGGGTCAGTGAATGGAATGCTCTGCAGCAGCCGGTAGCTGCTGCTTTCCTAGCTGCTCTTTACAGTGACTACATGCTTACATCTGGCTCCACAAAACTAGAATGCGATGGAGAAACCTATAAGCCATCGGATATTCGGAAATTTGTTAGATCTCAGGTATGCTTTCTGATTTGTCTCAAGTACATTTTGTATATGCGCAGATATTAGCAACAAACAGCCGTAACCTTCATAAACGTCTATTCCTTCCTAAAATGTTCCAAATTTTATAGGCGAATTATGTCTTGGGCGACAATCCTATGAAAATGAGCTATCTTGTCGGGTACGGGGATAAATATCCTGAATACGTACACCATAGAGGAGCTTCTATCCCCGCTAATAAGAAGACTAGCTGCAAAGAGGGATTCAAGTACCTTGACTCAACCAAACCCAACCCTAATGTAGCCGTTGGAGCACTTGTCGGCGGGCCGTTCCTAAACGAAACATACATTGATGCCCGGAACAACTCGAGGCAAGGGGAGCCGAGCACATACAACAGTGCCGTCGTTGTTGGCCTTCTGTCAAGTCTGGTGACCACCTCTTCGGCAGTTAAATCCTTCACCTAGAGAGTCCTAGACATCGACCAAAAAAAAAAACCAAGAGATTACAATTGTTTGTACTCTGTACCTGTTTGTATGCATGCCCTGTTTCTATACACAATTTACTGATCTAGTGTAATAGTACGTAGTTTACTTTCCAATGATTGAGCGGTTACTTCAGGATCTGAGCCTTTCTTTGTTTTGGTAAAGTGATATTTTGATATACCCTAATTTAGGAGGAAGGGGATTTGAATTTGTGTGGCATAATGCTCTAGCCAATTAATCTCATGTTGCGTAAAGTTTACAGTTTTTGTGGTTGGACTTTTGGACTTGGAAATTCAAGTTTTTCTCATCTTTCACTCTGTTTTCAAACTTCAAGATTGAATGAATAAAAAAAGATTAGAAACAGAAACGTAAGTGTAAAGAAGAAAACAAAAATGTAAAAATTACTACTCGAAAAATGTCAAATAAGCAAATTAAACAATCATCTTGAATATGAATTAATACATCATTTACGTAATGTGGATTAAAAAAGCTTTGAATTAAAATCACGTGGGTATCGTTTGACATTAGTGCATATAGTTCTTCATGTTTATGATAACAGGGTTAAATATTAGGATTAAGGGAAAAGGTTAAAATTGGGAGTGGCAACTATAGGTTTGCAGAGTCATAAGACACCACCACTTGTTGTTTATCCATGTATAGAACCATGGAAACTCAAAGGAAGTTCCCTACTCCTCTCTTTTGGGTCTCAATCAACTGCTTTCTTACCTTCTACGCTACGTCATTGTGATACTGCTTACACAATATTGTACATTTTATTCTTTTTAGTTAACAATTGTTGACTCGTTTGAGATGTAATGCCCACGTGAACTATGTCACAAGTAGCATAATCATGGTTGGATGAAAGTTGTTCTCACTTTATAAGTAGTGTTCTCCCTTGTCAATATGCAGTACCCACATGGGTTTTCACGAGTGCATTGTCCTTAGGCTCTCATCTCATCTCATCTACGGCATCCATGGCCTCATGGCCATTAGCACCAAGAAAATGAGTGGGCCACTTGCTTTTCCACCGTAGCTTTTCGCTTTCCTTCTGTACACTAGGCAGTTTGTGAATGGTACGGTCAATGTCTCCACTACTTTGCATGATGAACAACCTTAGCCTAGATGCCAACCAAGCCACCACCCAAAAATAATCTCCAGAGTCCAGGTCCAAAACCACTCACTCAATGAATGGATAAAAAGTAGGAAAATATCAACAGCATTAGTTCAATTCAATGTATTGAGAACGAGGGAGTGAATTTACATAAACATTCAATATCCAATGCTAAAAGAACTCCAAGTTCACCCATTTGGTTCGAGAATATATTTCCTCCCATTTGGTTCGACAAGTATCACTACTTGGTATTACTAATCCAGTTACGTTGGAACACTTAAACTGATTTTCGTCTTGAGCTTTGATGGTTTTCTTGGTTCACTCGCGTTTCTAGCTCTGTCCTAATCTTCTTTCTTCTATTTACTAATACACTACGTTAAATCTATAACATGTCAATCGTATCATATTCATATATATTAAATTAAAGAGTAAACTGTCATTTAACCCCCTAAACTATCACGTCAGTGTCAATTTCCCCCCTGAACTATTTTTTTGGCCAATTGACCCCCTAAACTATGTTAAAGTGGCCAATTGACCCCCTACCGTTAAGTATCTTTAACTCCATCCAATTTTCTGTTAGAAAGTGTCATGTGCTTGGCACATGACCACCTTTTTACATTTTATGTCTAAATCTTTACAAAGAAAACATATAAAACAAATATTAAAAAAAAAACATACAAACCCTAAACTTAATCATTCAAAATAATAGAAAAAGTAAGGCTTTTTTATATTAACCCCCACAAAATGTTGAATGCACCCCATATTAAAATTTTAATATTAAATGACTTATTTACTCTACTATGCAATGTCAATTTTGACCTTATTAGGTTTTTTAAAAAATAAAATTTTATAAATACACCCAAATCACTTTTAGTGTATTATTTATCTTCTCAACTATCAAAACACTCACATCCTCCATTGTTGAACAAAAACCCTAACCAATGAAACTACAAACATGTTGACTGAGAAAAAATTGTTTTTGACGAATGAAACGCGAAATCGATGTTTCTGAAGCTTCACATGAGGTAAGACTTCACATTTTTCATTGTTTTTAGTGATTTCGATGACATCGATAATTATTTAATCTTGTGTTTGCTACATTATTTTTCAATATGAACCCTAAAAGATGAATATGAATATGAATATAGAAGTTTGAATAATGCAGCAAATGCAAGATTAAATCATTATCGATGTCATCGAAATCACTAAAACAATGAAAAATGTGAAGTCTTACCTTATGTGAAGCTTCAGAAACATCGATTTCGTGTTTCATTCGTCAAAAAACAATTTTTCTCAATCAACATGTTTTGTAGTTTCATTGGTTAGGGTTTTGTTCAACAATGGAGGATGAGAGGGTTTTAATAGTTGAGAAGATAAATAATACGCTAAAAGTGATTTGGGGTGTATTTATAAATTTTTTTTTAAACCTAATAAGGTCAAAATTGTCATTGCATAGTGGAGTTAATAAGTCATTTAATATTAAATTTTAATATGGGGTGCATTCAACATTTTGTGGGTTGTTAATATAAAAAGCCTTACTTTTTCTATTATTTTGAATGATTAAGTTTAGGGTTTGTATGTTTTTTTTTAATATTTGTTTTATATGTTTTCTTTGTAAAGATTTAGACATAAAATGTAAAAAGGTGGTCATGTGCCAAGCACATGACACTTTCTAACAGAAAATTGGATGGAGTTAAAGATACTTAACGGTAGGGGGTCAATTGGCCACTTTAACATAGTTTAGGGGGTCAATTGGCTGAAAAAATAGTTCAGGGGGGAAATTGACACTGACGTGATAGTTTAGGGGGTTAAATGACAGTTTACTCTAAATTAAATGAATTTGTAACACAATTACTAATCCGGTTATGTTGGAACACTTAAATTGATTTTCATCTTGAGCCTTGATAGTTTTCTTGGTTCCCTCGCGTTTATAGTTCTATTCTAATCTTCTTTCTTCTATTTACCAATACAATACATTAAATCTATAACATGTCAATCGTATCATATTCATATATATTAAATTAAATGAATTTGTAACACAAGCTAACCCCTCATTTTATTTCTCCTCTTTCTTGATAGTCTACTTAATGTTCCTCACCACATCACTATCAATCGAAAACAACTTCCAACAGCCAATCAATTTTTGAAACTATATTATGAATGGAATCAATAGAATATACAAACATCATGAATCACCGACTTGAAGGACTAGTAATCAAATCACAGGTATTGTGATCCAGGTCAGATTCTAATTAGCAAAAATAAAATAAAAAATCACAAGAAAAAAAAAAAGAAATACAAAAGCGTGATCCACAGCTAAATAAAACAACTGTGTTGTTGGCACTTTTCTGAAGGAGCTCACATCTACAAATGGTTGACTGCTCATGCTTAATTGTGTGTATTTTAAGAAAACAAATCTGCTGTATTAATCTAACGGTCACAAATCCTCCACGACGACATGATAGACTGGTCAACGTGCAATGTCTGACTTTGCCGTGTTTTCCAGTTGTTGCTCCATCTCCCAACTCAGTCCACAATGCTTTGGAGCATATTCCTGCAGGTTTGTTCAATCAACATCAAAAAACCCCATCTGCATCACGCCATCTAAATGGACGGCTCAGATCATGTCATTTAGCACTTTTTCTCAAGTACCTGTACCTACAGGTACTTAGTGGTAACCTATTTGACTTGATCAAAATTAAATCGTCCTGGGACAAACTTTTGAATTAAATTTAACAGTCAAATATGTGTTGACATTGAGTGCTCGTAAGTATTAAGAAAAATGGATCTTTTAACTTTGACAATTACAAAAATGTACCTCTAGTTTGCACATGAGTTCGTGGGGAGTTTCGGCAGAGACAATAATATGTCGAGCTGCAGGGTCAATGAAACCTTCATCCACAGCCTTGTCTATGAAGGATAGCAGTGAGTTGTAGTATCCATCCACATTTAACAACCCCACCTGCATCATGCAAAATATTAACTTCTTAATTAATTAACATCTAATTGTAACTAAACCTACTTAATTTACAAGGACCAAAGGTGAATTTCTAGTATGTTTATTACTAATTACCGGTTTGTCATGGATTCCCAACTGTGCCCAAGTGATCACTTCCAACAGTTCCTCCAAGGTACCATAGCCACCTACAATCAAACGTATGAATGATTCATTTGGGAAGTGTTTGTTTTTTTTTATTATTTTTTTAATTAATAACGTCAAACACATAATAGTGCGTGATTAGTTTGAGGCAGAGTCACATTGACATTCTGAGTATAAGTAAATTTCTTTCATCTTGTTACAGAGCGTGATTAGTTTAAGACGCTGCTACTGTACCTGGCAAGGCAATAAAGGCATCAGCTTGGCGAGCCATTTCTGCTTTGCGTTGGTGCATGCTTGATACAGCTCTTACTTCTCCCACTGGCTCTCCTGTGATCTGAGATTATAAAACAATTATTTATTTTAGTATCTTCACTTAACACTAATAAAAGGATAAACAAATACATAATAATTAAGAAATTAAAATACCTCTCTTGGCATGAGAGTTGTGGGAATTACTCTGCAAATTAATCAAAACAAAATACAAATCAAGATCGGAGATGAATAAAAAATTCAGAAAAGGCAGGGCAGATAGAGAGGGAGGGATAAGAATTTTACCCCAACACGTGGCGGCCACCATCATAGACAACTTGGGAGACCTGACCCATCAATCCAATGCTTCCTCCTCCGTAAACCAAGTCGATGCTCCTTTCAACCTGCAAAAATAAATCCTCTTTTTATATTAACAACAGACGTACCTCCTTCAAACATCTCATCTAATTACTATAATTTGTGGTCAAACACCCATCATTTACGCTATCGTAATTAAATTAAACCCTATCATTACACTTTTGTATCCTTAATTAATCATCTTTTTCTCAATTATTCATAGTTCACACATCATTCTTATTTTAACTTTAATCGTGTCACTATGACGGTATTGTCATACAACTAAAATGAATAACAAGAATTGGTTAGCTTAGGAAACCG